GGGCTCATAGAGTGACCGGACGCTGGTGGTGCAGTGATCGGACGCTGGGTTCAGAGTCCGGTCAATGATAGCAGTGAGCTCGCATCTCGGTCTTGTGACCGGACGCTTAGGGTCTGAGTCCGGTCAGTGCTGACATATGCTGACGTGGGGCGCACAGAGGAGACATTGAATGACCGGACGCGTCCGGTCATGAAATCTCATGTTTGGAACCTTACTAGAAACGATCGGACGCTGGCGTCCAGCGTCCGGTCACTTTCTAACTGACGCATCCGGTCATCACTTGACCATAGAGATCGGGCGATCGGCGTTTGAAGCCGATGACACGTGGCAAGCATCGGGCGATTGGACGCTGGGGTCCTGCGTCCGGTCGAACTGACCGGAGCGTCTGGTCACTCCGTGTTGTGTCCAGTGAAGGGGTACAACGGCTCTATTTCGTGGGGGCTTCTATTTAAGCCCCATGGCCGGCTCAAGCTCACTCTCTTGGCCATTTGCATTGACATAGCAACCTTGTGAGCTTAGCCAAAGCCCTCCAACTCATCTCCATCATTGTTTCATCATCATTGGGAGAGAATCCAAGTGTATTGCTTGAGTGATTGCATCTAGAGGCACTTGGTATTCGTGTTTCGCTGCGGGTTTCACTTTTTTTCTCTTGGTGGTTGCCACCACCTAGACGGCTTGGAGCAGCGAGGATCGTTGAGTGAAAGTTGGTGATTGTCTCTGGCTCTAATCGTGGTGATTGTGAGTGGTCTTGTGCCTTCCCCAGCGGAGCGCCGAAAGGTAACTCTAGTGGATTGCTCGTGTCATTGAGTTACCTCACTTGTGGATAGGTTCTTGCGGTGTCCTATTGTGTGGACGAGGTTCGTGCAACACCTCTTAGCCGCCGAACCACCAAGTGTTGGTCGACACAACGGGAACTAGCGTGCCGGCAAGCACGTGAACCTCGGGAGAAAAATTGGTTGTCTCTTTCCCTTTGGTATTCTCCCGGTGATTGATTTAGTATTCATATTGTGATTGGTTCACTCCTCTACACGGAGGTATAATCAACCTACTCACTCATTTATATTCTTGCAAACTAGTTGTGGCAAGCTCTTTAGTGTAATTAGAATTGAGAGCTTGCTTTGTTATTTTAAGTTCATCTAGTGGAGCTCTTTAGAGTAGCAAGATTGAGAGCTCTTAGTGAGTAGTAACATTGCAAGTTGTGTGCCTAGTAATCATTGAAACTAGAATTGTTGGATAGGTGGCTTGCAACCCTGGTAGAGATAGAGCAAGTTTGCATTTCACTATTTGTCATACTAATCAAATTGCTCTAGTTGATTTGTAGATTTTTAAATAGGCTATTCACCCCCCCTCTAGCCATATTAAGACCTTTCACCGCCCCTATAAATCAATGATTTGTAGACACGGTTGCTTAGAGGCAGTTGAGGAAACCGTCCATACAAACCCTTATAAACCGCTCCTATAAATGCTTACGGTAGTAGTGATTGTCAGGACCTATTGGTCCAATATGTGGAGCCTTGGGGCCTATAAAATTATAGCATGGACATAAAATTATAGCGTGTTTCTTTCGATGTTTTGTTGTGCCAATTGACCTCTGATATGTCCACGACGTCTATACCATGTTGGTGGTGCCCAAAATCATCTTGGGACATTTTTTAGTGTCAACAGGTCAGAATCATAATAGTTGCTTAAGATCATATGGTTAATAATAATAATAATCATGTGGCTTCATCAAAGACCCTATTTTTTATGTGATCTGGGGTTATGGTTACGCTCATACATGTTAGGACAACGCGCATCCAACGATCTTACGAAATGCAATGCCATGACGTGTCTAGAGTCTAAACCGACTCAAAATACATTGGAATATTTGATAGTGATCATTGAATAAATTTTCGAGCCACAGATCATTCTGTTTACCACACAACAAACTATATACTAGAAAACCGTGCGGCGTTGCCGCGCCAACTTGAGCTAGCCCAGTGGAGTGCTTCGATCAAGGTAACCCTGCATCAGCTTGAGCTAGCCCAGTTGAGCATGTATCAAAGTGGAACCTATGAATCGTCGGGCCTCGAGCGTGTGACAGATTGCCAACCGTGGTGCAAACAGACACCACAGTCCAGCTTGATGTTCTCAAATATTTATAGCTGAAGGGATGTTAAAAGTACTCCTATTATAGTAAGAAATAATTTAATTGTTGTGTTTGATTGTACGAGATGACAGGGAATGGAAAACTAAAAAATATCACAAGCTCTTTATAGATGTTGGTAAGTTCGCTCACCAAGATACTTTAGACTTCAATATCAAGTCCATGAGCTCATTTCTTCGTACAAGATGTATGGAGTAAACAAGTGATGACAAGAGTTCAAGTTTTTTTTTTAAAAAAAGATCGACGGGAGTTCAAGTGGAATTTTTTGAACCTCTATAATAAGCTCACAAGCAACTATCCTTACAAGTAAAAGAAAATTAGTGAAAGAAGTGATACCCATCAATGTTAAGGCTTAGGCCCCGTTCGGCTTACCCAGAAACCGGCTTGTTCGGTTTCTTTTTTCAGCTGGAACAGTGTTTTTCTCTCACAACAATTCAGTCAGAACAGTGTTTTTCAGCCAAGTTTCAGCAAGCCTGCTAAGACATTTAGTTTGCTCTTTCTCATTAGGGATGGAAAGAAGAAGGTGACATCTAGTTTGTTAATGTGATAATGAGCAACAATGCAGTGATTGGTTCCCAACCCATGAATCACAAATAATTGAAGCCATACGATAGATCAATTGAGAATTGGTAGAAAAAAGCAGATACTGCCTTCTTGGTCCTTTCTAGCACTTCAAATTCAACTCTGTATCTAACTTCCAAGAAGGTGACATTTAGTTTGTTAATGTGATAATGAGCAACAATGCAGCGATTGGTTCCCAACCCATGAATCACAAATATCTGAAGCAAGAAAGCAGATCGATCGAGGATTGACTCCAAAGAAGATAATGCCTTCTTGTTCCTTTCTAGCATTCTAATTCAACTCTGTATCTAACATTCAATACAGTGATAGGTTTAAGAATATCACACTACAAATACTTGTGCTAAGAAATTTATGCAGATATACATTCAGGGAAAAAATTCAAATCATGTCATATTGCTACTATCAATTGGAATTGAGAAAAAAGATCATTGTCCATCGTTGACAAATCTAATAACAGTGATATAATTTATGCCTTAAGGCAGAATCTCCATATACCTGAAAGCTAGAGATCTGAATCACAAACTTCTAACAATCCCCTTTCATCAGTTTGTAGAGTGGGAGGCAATCAGGGCATCCTTCCGGTCGAGCCCACTCAAAGTCCTGCCTCATGGCATACTGCAATGCATCAAAATGCTCTTCATTCCTCACCAGGAAATACAATCCCTTTGGCAGTCCCTACATACACAGATGGTGAGGAAATACACAGAACGACATAGCACTCTTGATACTGATATGATACCCTGCACGCACTCTGCTGCCCTTGTCGCTCACCTGATCCAACCTCCCTGATGGGAGACAGTGCATCAGCATCTGATAGAACGTGTCCCTTTCCATCACATGCACATCATCCATGTCCGCCGCCATTCCTGGCATCCTTAAATTGTCAATGCCAAGCGAATCGATGCAGTTTAGATCATTATCTTCACAAGTGAGGCCATCCTGCGGAGCATTGTGTTTATTGAGAATGGACGAATGGGATGGCCATTTCTTCCAACACCATGGGGGCGTCCCTTGAGCAGCTGCTATTTGATCTTCTTCAGTGCTGCGCCGCCCCACGCCACTTCTCGGGCTGCAGTGCTGCTATGTCCTTGCCGGCGCGGCGGTGGGGAAGGTGCGAGATGGCGCGGGCGACAGAGTACGTCGAGCGCGTGGGCCGGCGGGCGAGGTGGCCAAGCGCCGCAGGCATGGTCAAGGCACACTGTTGGTGAGCAGGCGGTACTGCGATGTCATCGGCAAGGAGGCCATCAAGCCCACAACACCCACACTTGGACGCAGCGGCGTCTGTCTTCTCGCTACGGCCGCGTTCCAGATGAGGGCGGCACGGCCCGAGATGTGGGCAGCTGGTAGCGTAGGAGGCGTCGGCGGGCTGCGAGCGACGCGGCAGGTGAAGGGCGGAGACCGGCACCTTTCGCAGTGCTCTGGGGAGACATCCCTGTTGTGGTGTCCTCGGCTCGCCGCGACGCCTCGCCGGTGGGCAGCGCTCGAGCTTGTGGTGCGCGGTGGTGATTCGGGTACGGATGGCCCGGGCGGGCGCTCGCTCGATCGGGACGAGCCCGAGAAGGTTCCCGAGGTTTCGGGCCGACTAAGAAGCGGGTTGAGATCCGAACCGATCCAAATCTAACGGATGATATTGCGAGCTAGCTCGATCCGACGGTCAGTGGGTTAACGGGCGACGTGGCGCTATCGGGTGCCCGAGCTTGGACCCTGGATTCGAAAGGTAAAGATAAAGATTCTATTGCAGTTCAATAACATGTTTACAAGTTTCAAAATAAAAGAGAAAAGAGAACTTATGGACCTATCCCCGTGGGCCGCAATAGGGTTGAGCTGACTAACAGTAGTCTCCCCTGTACAGGAAGCCTCTTCCTGAGCGAGTCATTGTCCCTACTCCCTAGAGCTAGAAGACGACGACGACGACGTAACGGGCTCATCGTCTTCCCCAGCTCAGGCGATCTCCACTGCCGCCGCCTCCATTCCATTTCAGCAACAGCTCTCAGCGTCGTTCCTTCTCTGCCCTACACTATCCGTGTGCCGGCCGTGCTCATCTCCTGCGGTCCCTACCTGGGTAAATCCTGCAACCGGCTCATCTGCCGCCACGCCGGGTCGCTGCGGAGCGCTGCTGACCTTCTCCGTTCCCCTCCAACAAAGCTATCCAAAAGCGACGAGTTGCTGCTGTTTCTCGGTAAGCCCAGATTTGCTTGACTTCTCGGCTAAATCCCGAGTAGCCTCCCTGATATCACTGGGGTTTCGCAGGACCCTGGGCGCGTCCGCCGCGATGGGTGGAGGCGTCTGGGTTTTCCGGTTGGCTTCCCTTCTTGCGCTTGGTTTTGTGCTCAGCCGCGTCGAGGCTAGCCTGGGAGATATTGATCCGCGGTACAGGTGAGACGCATCTCTGGTTGGTTCTCGAATTTTGACTTGTCTCCAGCAGTGGTATTGTATTCTTGCCTGAATTGTTTTCTACTCCGTACATCCTTGTACGGGGATTATGCTGTGGGATTCCTTATACGGGGATTGTGCACAAAAGTGCTCATGGTTAGACTATTGTTGATAGTTAATCCTTGTAGTTAGTAGGTACCATAAATCTTGGACAAGGCATTGCACTCTTGGTCATCTTATATCGTGTAAAGATCTGTTCCTGTTTGAATTGTGGTTGATGTAAACTCACTTGCTAACTAGTTGGTTACATAAGAACATATTCAAACTGAGAAGGGTGCCTCCAAGTAGATCACATTTTCAAAATAAAACAGCCCAATAGCTGTAGTAAATGATCATTTGATTAAGTAACTTGCTTTCTTTGATAAGTAAAAGGGATCTCAGTGTCCTGTGAGAAGAGATGTGAAGCAACCCGAGATGGAATTTTCTAGAACAAGGCTGACTGCCTGGTATTTTAACAGCACACAAGTTGTAGCAAACTGTACAACACTTCCTTGGGAGTTGGGAACTAGAAGCTTGTGCTTAATGATTTCTTTTTTGGAATCGGTGGAAATTATGAATTACACACACTTATGCACATCTGGCTTATTCTATTATGGCTGCCCTTTTGTTCTTTTGCTAATATATTGAATTTGAAATTTCTGACATATTAATATCATTTAGAAGAGAAGTATTCACTTCAGTGGTGTGATGCGAATACGTGGTCTTGCTCAAACCGTGGATCGCAATCGGCAAAGTGTTTTTGTTAACTGAAGTTGAAAGTGCTAGCGTGGCTGTAGAGTGTCCAAGGGGCGTAGTTTTCACATTTATACTGTTGACAAACTGTAACAGTTCTCAGGGAAAACTTTTATAAGTTTTTGTCCTTTGGTAATCTTCAGGGGTTCAAATACTAGATATTACTAGAAATCACGCGCGGCGTTGCCGTGCTACTGGGCCATCTTGCCATGCGTGAGTCTATAGAGACTAATCTGAGTTTCTTTGAGTATTTCAATTATTAGCTCAACACGATCTAAAAACTGTCTTTCTGCAAGCAACCTGCTAGGCAAAGTATATTATTCTGGTTTCAGAAAACAACAATATAGTATGCAATTCTGGGGGGGTTTCACAAAATCAAAAGCAAGGTTTATCACAGAGAAAACATGGGCGCATACAAACAGAACACATGGGTGCTTGCCTCCAACTCTTTGTTGGATTCTAGAGAGAATCGCATTGATGAAACATGCATCCACATCTTTCTGTTAGCATCAAAAGCTAGTGAATATTACTTAATGTAGCATATTTATGAGGAATTCCAGAGGGACAATAATGGATGATGCAATGTCTATCATATGATCATGCTTGGGCGACATGGTGAGAGGAGGCAGAGAAGGAGCTGCTCGTGAAGCCAACTCTCTACGCCCATCAGCCATCAAGCCGGCTTTCTCCTATGCTTGCTATCAATGCTCCACCGGGAATCGCTCCTATGCTTGCTCCGTTCGCTAGGTGCTCGAGGCCTCGCCGGCGTGGTCAACCTTGGGCAGTGACCCACAGCCATGTGAAGTCCATTTCTAGCGGTGCCTCTCTCGCCGTCCTTGGCACCAAGCTTTCAAGACAAAGACGCGTAGCACACCTCATAGCCGAGAGAGATGAAGTAATGGAAAATAAAGAAAACATATATTGTTTGAGGATAGTAAGATAGAAATAACCGTGCATTATAGAGATAATTGTGTACAGTTAACTTATTGATTATAGAAATGAATGTATTAGACAAAGACCATTAGGCTTTGTATATTCCTTGATAATGGATTATGTAGGGATTACACTTATATAGAGAGAGAGGGATGGCCCAAGGGGCCAAGCAGGTGTGAAAGGGCTGATATAGTTGGCGCTGCATGACAGTTAGCTAGGAGATTACGAAGAATGAGCAATTAATTCTAACACCCCCGCATCGGAACGGCGGTGGAGCTTAACGTTGAGATTGGAGCGAAAGTCCATGAACACGTAAGACGGAAGCCCTTTGGTGAAGACATCTCGCGAACCGTGAGGTGGTGGGAACGTGAAGCACACGAACAGCACCAATAGCAACGCGTTCTCTGGACGAAATGGAGGTCGATTTCCACGTGCTTGGTGCTACCGATCTTTGAATGGGGTTGGAGGAGAGGTAGACGGCGCCGACGTTGTCGCAAGAGACGAGGGAGGCGGCTCAGAAGGGTGGTGCAGCTCCGTGAGAAGTTGCTTTGCAGACCAGATGCTTGGCAACGCTGTTAGGCAACAAATTGACGATACTCAAATTTCGGGCTCGCCGACCGAGAGACAAGTATTTGCCGCTTGAGGACCAGGAGATGAGATCGCCCCGAGGAAGACAAAGATAGCCGCAGAGGTGGAGCGTCGGGTGTCAGGTAGCCCGCCCAATCAGATCGAGATACACAACAAGTTGCGTTGGAGCGCACCGAGGAATAATCGGACCAAGTCGAGGGTGCCCTGAAGGTACCGGAAGGATCCGCTAGCGACCACAAGGTGAACTTCCCGGGATCATGCATGTGAAGGCAGATTTGGCCGGACAAAGATACGCAATGTCGGGTCGAGTAAATGTCGCATCGGAGTGCACTCGCAAGGTGCGGTAGGCGTGGGATCGACAACAGGAGGACCGGCATCTGCAGGAACTTTGGCGCAGTGTCAGAGAGTGGAGCAAGGCTTGCGATTGCTCATCCCATGGCGAAGCAAGAATGTCCAGGATGTCTTGTGTGCCGTGTGTGAGTGAGGTGATCCTTGTGGTTGAATCGCCATACCGAGGAAATGGTGAAGGGGCCAAAAAAGGTCCTTCATGCAGTGATCCCGACATGCGCTCGGCTTTGATACCATATTAGACAAAGGCCATTAGGCTTTGTATATTCCTTGATAATGGATTACAAAAGGGATTACACTTATATAGGAGAGAGAGGGATGGCCCAAGGGGCCAAAGAAGTGTGAAAGGGCAGATATAGTTGGGCGCTGCATAGTTAGCTAGGAGATTACAAAGTAAATGAGCAATTAATTCTAACAGAATGAATATGTTTAATGTTAATATCTGAAGCATATATATGTGTGACTGCCATGAAAAAGAAATAAATAACTGAAGCGCTATATTTTGGAAGATCAAATGTTACATGTCCAGATTGATAAAGCTAATTTCAGAGTTGAATAAATCCATTTTTTCAGAGAAAAAGGAAAAAAATGCTACCCTAGATAATAATGCCTAATCTCCCTACAATCAACATTTTACTACATAATAAATATAGCTAATACTACATTCTATCATTTTTGTGCTGGAGATTGTTGAGAAAGGCACTACAGAGATGTATCTATTCTTGCATACCAGCATACATTTTTCTTGCAATGCTATTCTTGCATAAATAATCCTTGGGTAATTACAGGTTGAGCTCGAAATACATAGTGTGATTGAAACATGCACCTGTATCTTTCAGAAGATATAGCCTCTGAATTCAAATTGTGGACCACGAATTGATCAAAGGACATGCTCGATGTACCTGGTCAAACATGTTGAACATTAGTGTTTATGTTTTTTTGTGAAATAAAATAGCAGATATAAAACCTCATATCTATTTGAAAACGACTATCTTTGATAGCACACAGTAGATGCTAAGCTCATCAAAATGGGATCATATGTTCCAGGCAATGTCAGTTAATTTCTGTAATTTACTTGGAATTTGTGTATATCATTTAGATCTCTATAGAATTTTGAGAAATAAATGCAAAAATTTAAGACATACATTCAAACATAACAGCCTTATAAATTAGATTTGTACTCGTATAATTTGGCAGTTATAGTTCTGAAGACACAGCCTTATAAATTTTTTTTTTTTTTTTCTCGAACACGCAGGAGAGCTGCGTATCATTTGTATTAGTAGAAGAATAAGGAGTCATACATAGACCCAAAAACACTCACCCCCACACCTTCCCTGATTTCTAAAGCTACATCACCTGAGTCTGAGAGTACAGCGACCAAGCATGCTAACTAACTAAGCACCCCTAGCAGTGAGCAAGGACAGACCCTTGGCTCCTGCCAAACACCGCCAATGGGCATGATCCCTAGCTATACTAAGGGCTGTGTTAATGTTAGGTGCCACCCCATTGAAGACACGATCATTCCGGTGCTTCCAGATGCTCCAGGCTCCAAGGATGATAATGGAGTTTAATCCTTTTCTCACATCTCCAGTGGTGGCCGCCTCTGCCTTCTCCCACCAATCCTCCCAAGCTGAATCCTCGGGTTGAGGCGTGAGTGAAGAGAGTCCGAAGCGCTGCAAGAGGGCAAACCAGAATTGTCCGCAAACACACAACCAACTAGGAGGTGATCAATGTTTTCTTGTTCTTGGTCACAGAGTAGACATTTGGCCGGGTGAGGAAGTCCTCTCCGAGCAAGCCTGTCAGCTGTCCAGCACCGTTTATGAGCCACCAGCCACATGAAAAAGCGGCATTTGGGAGGAGCCCATGACTTCCATATTCTCTCATATGGCCTGAAGTATATGGCGCCCTGAAAAAATACATCATAGGCAGACTTCGCTGTGTATTTTCCTGAAGCCGAAAGCCTCCAAATGTGTCTGTCCTGTGCCCCATCCTGCAGCTCAATATTAGATAATTTATCCCACAATTCCAGATATTCCATCAGAGCTTCCACAGGTACTCCCACTCGGATGTCATCGATCCATTTCTCATCAGTCAAGGCCTCCGCTACTGTACGCCTGCCTATTATTCTTTTAGAGACCAAACTAAGGATCTTAGGCGCTACTTCCTCAATATTTTTCCCCTCCAGCCATCTATCCTTCCAGAACAGAGTGGTAGCTCCGTTTCCTACATCGGTATACACTGCCATAGAGATGAGGCCATCCACCTCCTTGCTCACTTGAAATGGCAGACTTGCCCAAGGTTTACTTGGTTCAGATTTTCTCAGCCATGGCCACCTAGCTCTG